GGGTCGGAGGACATTTTTGTTACACCCTGTATAATAAGAAAGTTATGAGAACAGCCATTATTAGTTATATTTGATCCTAACCGAGACACAGAACTTCATACTGATGCGAGCGGCATAGGTTTTGGAGCTGTGTTATTTCAACGTCATGATAGAGAACTCTGGGTAGTAGCATATTATAATAAGAAAGCGTCTAAAGAAGAATCAAAATATCATTCGTATGAATTGGAAACGTTAGTCATTGTTAATGCTTTGAAACATTTTCGCGTTCACTTACTTGGAATAAAATTCAAATTGATAACTGACTGTAATGCAATTAAATCTACTGCCACTAAACAGGACTTATTACCACGGGTAGCAAGATGGTGGGTTTATCTTCAAGATTTCGACTTTGATATTGAATATCGTAAGGGAAAACATGTTACCTATGTAGATTACTTGAACCGTAATCGGGTAGAAGAATTACACAGTGTATTGACATTAGAACGAGCAACCTGGTTAGAGGTAGTACAGTCACGTAATTAGGAATCGCAGGAATTATTAAGAAGAATTCGAGAAGGAGACGAAAGCATCACTGATTATGCCGAGGAGAAGGGAATTTTAATTAGAACCAAAGATGAGAGGAATAGGAAAATGCAGCAGTGGTTCGTTCCTAAGTGAAGCCGATTAAATCTTGTTCGACAACACCACGATGAACAATGTCACATTGGTCGCAAGAAATCTTTACATTCTTTAAAGAACAAATATTGGTTTCCTAAAATCAATGCTTTTGTGAAGAAATATATTGATCGATGCATTATTTGTATAATAGCGAAACGTCCGAGCGCTCCGAAACAAGGATTTTTACATATCATTGAAAAAATTCTCATTCCTTTTCATACAATTCATGCAAATTGTACCGGTTCTTTTCCTGTTAGCATTGAAGGGTATAAACATCTTATGATATTAGTTGATGCTTATACTAAGTTCGTTATTTTATCTCCTTTACGAGATATGAAAGCACAGGACACGAAAGAAATATTGGAGCCACGATTGATATTATTTGGAACTACCAAGAGATTAATTGTGGATCGGGGAACTAATTTTACAGGAAAATTAGTCAAAGATATGTTGCATAAACATGGTATTGAAATACATTATGTAGCAACTGGCTGAAAGATATCTTGCGACAGTTTTGAACTTGCTTACTGGTGAAACGTTACAGGGAAAAGAAGAGTCTAGCGTGTTTTTCCAAAGCCCCTCTCCCCGAGCTTTTGGCGAAAGAGAGAGAAAGATGTAAATATTAAAGGGGGTCCTCTCCCCGGGCTTCTAGCGAAAGAGAGAGATATAGAGAATATAAACGGGCGATGGCCCCGGACGTGAATCGTGAAAGTGCTAGTCTCTTTGTTAAAAGAAAAGAAAATTTGTTAATCGAGGCATCGAAGCATGTCAAAACATCCTTGGTGCCTTGTTATTTGTTTCAGGTTTAACTGGGTGTCTCGAGAACGAGCCATAGGTCAGAAATGGCCGTGTTAGCGTTAGCACGGTGGCGTTGAAGTCACGTTGCCGAATGGCAACGAGGATAGAAAGATAAAAAGAACGAAACAACGAATGATTGATTCAGAATTGGTGTGGACATCGTAGAGTAAAGGACATATATATATTAATAATTGTTTACGTATCAAAATTGTTAATAGTTCAGTTCATTTATTAAAAGTTTGTTCGTTCTTATAAATATTTTTAAGTTTATTTATCACACGCGAAGGGTAATTAACTGCACAACAAAGCTAAAGATGACGCAATCGATTGCAGAAACGCGCAATCAATCACCAAAAGCATGCAAGATATATATGTATATGACATATATTTGACGAAAACTATGAAAAATTGATACATTTTTAAAATTTTTTTATGAAATTTTTTCGTCGTAAGTGCGAATGGTCGTAAGTCAAGGTGGTCGTAACTCGAGAAGTTACTGTATTAAAATTAAGTTCACACCGAGCAGTCAAAGAGTGGTGCTTCCCGTTTCAGGTATAGCTGCTTCAAAGATATAGCGTTAGCCATAAACATGGCCGATCCTTGAACTATTATGTAGTACTCGATCATCGGGGGCCCATTGTGTCTCACCGCATTCAGTGTTGTACGCCACTGTCAGCTATGGGGTTCCAAGGAATAAAACGAGAAAGACTGGAATATTTTAAAGAAATTTACGTTTTCGTAAGCACTTGTCAAGAATAAAAGGGCCAGAAGTATTTCAAATCTGAAATTAGTACCCTATAAGAACTTGTTTAATTACATTTGCTTAATTAAAACGGAAAAACCGATTCCAATTTAACGTCGCACGTCCCTGTACGACGGTCACGCACAGTTTTTAGAACTGAAGGGTATCGAATAAGTGGATTAGGCTACCGAAACACGTATCTTTGAAGCAGCTATAAGTGAGATGCACGCTCGGCGATTTCGGTCGGCCGATCGTACCACTTGCGCCCTCGCACTCCATATTACTACAATAAGGTTTAAAAATACGTCAATTTTTTAAGGATGCCAATTAGACTTTGTTTATGATAATCAGATGTATACGTATTAGTTTCTTTGATCGTTGATTATTTATAAAAGAAAAGTGTCATTGCTTGATGGAAACCATGAGAAGGTCCTGGACAGGCTGGCCGGCAGAGTGGGGTGCGTGCACATGCGTGAGAAACATGTGTCAATGAGGGGCATTCCCAGTGATCAATTAACGAACCGACAATTATTGAGCGTCTACTGTAAGTAGAGTAAGCTATTAAAGCCATTCTTTTGTTATTTCTTGGCGATAAACATCTTTAATATCTTTAATTGTAGTCATGAATCTAATTTCATTCGTAACCATCAATCAACTTTTATTAGAATTACATAATCCCACAGATAAAATATAGGAGTAGAAATTTCATCCAATGTATTTTTTCGGCCCACTTTTCTGGGTCGTCGTCGTCCCATTACCATTTCAGTGTGACTACCCACCGCAGATTCACCGTTCTTATAACGTAGAGGTCACTAAAGTCACAGCCTTTTTAAAGTGTCAGTACTACAGTTTAGGTGGACCAACTCCCATTACGACGTGCGTTACGAAAAGTAGCACGTTTTCATATGCTTAACCACGGTCGTATACACGGGTCCGAAAACTCCCGTGATGGGGGTGATCCCTTAAAGAAACAAAGTGTACTTTCGAACTTTGCCACGAAGCGAGGGCACTAGTCTTTCGATTCAGTCATGGACCTAAGAAAGGGACCTTGAGCTCTGCCTTCTAATTCCTATGTCCATCGGTTCAGTCGCGGTCGTATGTATGTACCACTGAACTCTATACTACCTGGAATGCGCACTGCAGTGGGCAGAGACGACCAAATCCGGCCCAAGAGAGATATCATGAAAGTGGTATCTGCATCCTTTATTAATGTGGTACTACCCTGTTGTAAACTTAGGTCTAGCAGGTATAAGCGTGTACTACCTTGAACTCATGCATACGACTCGACTTTAATACTTCATTTATGTAATAATTTCATGTAAAAAGAATGCGAGAATAAAGAAAGTACATTACATATATCTATGTTCAACTTTCAAATGAAATTAAATCTCTACACATATACATATTCACGCTCGATGAAGAAAGAGGAACTCTTGCCGAATAAACCGTGTAAACGTAAACTTCTGTTGATGCGATTATATTTCAGAGTAACATGTAGTAAGAATGAGACACAGATACCCGTTCAGTCGTTCTGTTTCTATATGGTAGGCCGTTTTCTTATACCCGTAGTGCGCATTCCAGGTAGTATACAGTTCAGTGGTATGTACACAACCATTGCCGCGCTGTGTGACTAGTGGAAGATTCATGAAACTTTCGGTCTTCCTTAAGAGATCATCCCCACCACGAGAGTTTCCGGACCTGCGTATACGACCGTGATCTTAACACAGGAAACGTGCTACTCTTCGTAAGACACGTCGATTAGATGAAAAGTCTATTTTTATACCTCATCGGTGATAATCCGTTCAATGCGAGGTCGATAGATGTATCGATGCAATGCACGCTACTGACGATAAGTGACGAGATCGATAGATATATCGAATAACCGCCGGCCGTGCTTCCGCCGTTTTAGACCTTCTTCCCACGATTGTTTTGAACTATAACCGTCTTTAACGATTATTGATTGTGACTTGTTTCTACACTCGTTGCCGATACTACTATTGAGTTCGTTTCTGAGAGATCGTCGATACGAACATTTCGTTTGTTATTCCGCAAAGTTGTATGATAAACTTTTTCCATACGTCACTGGGGTTGAAATTGTAAACGTTCGTCCGCATAGAACGCATTAAGTAATTTTTTTAAAACCCATTTGTTTAAATTTCCTATTTCCACTTTCGAATATTTGGCATGTTCTATGTTCCATAATATAAAAAATGGTTCATATATTTCTTGAAATTAAATAAAATTTAATAGTTTTAGCGTCACTTCAATTCACTTGTAACAAACACTCTAATATAGAATATATGTAAAATTGAATAAAACAATGATTAAGTTCATTAGATGTGCATACCTAATTGATACCCTTTGCGCGTATAACGATTTACTTAATATGCATTACGAATAAACTAATTCCGTACAATAAACGGTTTACGCTAAACGAAAACGCTAACTTCCCTCTCATAGATACACACATACAACACGAAGTTATAAAATCCTATTCACACATATAATCGTGCACACCACCGGGAAAGTCATCGAAATTGTTTCATACATTTCGGAAATAACAAACACGCAAAGTGGCAGTTTGAGTAAACGCAATAACAAATCAGTGTAACCGCTCGTCTCCCCGATCAATAGAACTAACTAATTACATTTACGAGTACAGTATAAAAAGCAGTGCAAAATGTTTCTGTCATAGCAGTTCGCGAAACCGTTGTCACAGAATCACATAATTTCCATTTGTTTGTTTTCTTTTCTACTTATGCCCGTCCAACGTGATATGTAATCCTAGTTTACAAATGTCTTTCTACAGCTGCAATGGTGCGTTGTATGTGTTGTGTCTTTTATGCCTGGGCGGAGCGACAGGTGGACTTTCAGGTGTCAACAATCGCCTGGTCATAAGCCATTTTTTGGCTCTGCTAGCGTGATAGTAATACGAGTAAAGCAGTGCCATAGCCGCCAGGACGACCAGGAGGCACGTGCCAGCGATAATGATACTGAGCAGCCAATACGGCCCAGTTAACTTCGACACTGTTGTTGGCTCTGTCGGTGACTTCTCACCCGGAACCGATGCAGTCGGTGGCTGGGTCGGCGGTCTGGGCGGCAACGGTTCTACGTTATCGCCTATAGTAATATCGGCGCAGGAACGGAACTCTTCTTGGGGGCCACAGCCCACAGCTCCTACAAACAGATTTAAAACAATTTTGATTAATCTTCTTCACTAACGTGCGATAGGTATTTGCAGTTCCTTATTTGGTTACAGCTTCTGAAAGGTCCCCTTTGCAATTTTCATGAAACTTGGTAAACTCGAGTCAAATACTCTCAAATGAACGTATTGTTGCGTAGGTGCGGCACATCTCTAATAATGAATGGACAATGTTTATAAAAAAAGGGAATTTTTTATTTCAATAGTGTGGTATCGGGAATGTTCGGGCTACCCGGTACATATTTCTGTACGTAGTTTTAAGAGACATTTTTAGCCGTTAGACCAGGGCGTTTTGCGAGGCGAGGGCCGGAAAAAGGGCCATAAAAGTGAAAGCGGGGTTGACCTTCGTTGGGTTGCGAGCGACGACGGGGTTTGGCCCGTTGGCGAAGGTTTGCTGGAGTCAAGGAGGTTCATGCCCATATTTGGGCATAAGAAAAGGTATCGAGAGGGCAAGCGTAGGGTAATGTGGGGTAGGGTAGTTTTTCGAGGAGGACAGTTGAGTGTGGAAGTTGGTAGTGGAAAGTTGTGGCTCATGGAGTCAGTATTGTAGTTTACCTTTAGTCGTCTTAGTTTATATTTAACATACTATTCAATATTTGTATTACTAGTTTTTTTTCTTTTTTAAAATAAATATATGTTTGTTTTATTTAATTATATGTGTTACCACATATAATTTGGGGGCTCAGCCGGGATTGAGTGGAAAGGAAAGCAGAATTAGTGAATAATAGTTGTCACGCGGTTGTGTTGTGAAAGTTACGTTGGAGTACATTATGAGTAGTGAGGGGTCAAGTGGGGGACAACACCGTGGTCGAGGTTGATAATCAAGCTATCAACGTGAGGTTGATGAGCATCGACGAAATGAAGTTGCCGGAGCTGAAGGAGGAACTGAGGCAGCGGAGGTTGAAAGTCAGTGGGAATAAATCGGAGTTGCAGGATCGGTTGAGGGCTGCCGTTATGCTCGAAATCCAACACGACGAAGATAATTCAGAAGAAGAAGAGGAAGTTGAAACAGAAAATGTTGTTAAGTCGCATGGTAAAGCTGCAGGTAGTCCTTCGCATCTCTTAACGTTTAAAGATGTAGAGGAGTCGATGAATACGTTCAGCGGCGATGATAAGGTGAACGTGCGTCAGTGGATCGAGGAGGTCGAGGAAATGGCTGAACTATGCGATTGGAACGGGGTGCAACGGATACTTTATGCGAAGCGACTGCTGCGTGGGTCGGCGAAATTATTCGTTAATTACGGAAAATGTAGCAGTAGCTGGGGTGCGATGAGAAGAGCCTTGGTCGCGGAATTCGCTCAAATGGTGGATGCGTATAAAATTCACAAAGAGTTATCTCGTCGAAGCAAAAGGATAGCGGAGACGTATCAGGAGTACGTCTACAAGATGTTTGAGATCGCTAAACAGGCTGCGATAGAAGACGCGGCCGTGATAAAATACATCATCGAAGTGAATAAGACGGTTCTCTACGGCGCAAAGAATATTCGTGAGTTGAAAGAGAAGTTTCAACTGTATGAAACTATGAAGGAGAACGCAAAAGCAAGGAGCAGACGAAGCGAGGAAAAGCAGCAGAAGATCAGCGGTCGGAGCAATACGGTGCAGGAAACTGTGAGGCGATGTTTCTTGTGCGGTGATAAGAATCATTTGAGTGCAGGATGTCCTGGCAAAAACAAAGGTTTTAAATGCTTCAAGTGCGGACAATACGGACACATTGCTTCGCGTTGCGGTGGTATAATCGAGTCGTCGAAGAATGCGTGTAGTACGTCGCAACTGTCACAATCAAAGCGCTGCAAGGAGGTGGAAATTTCGAATTGTAAGTTAGCTGTTTTGATAGATACCGGTAGTGATTTAACTTTAATGCGAGCAGATCAGTATGTTAAAGTCGGTGCACCGAAATTAGTAGATAATGTTTTGATATTCCGCGGTGTTGGATCAGACTGCAACTATACTCTTGGAGAATTTGTTGCGAACGTAAAAATAGATCATGAGCTTTATTCGATGAAAATACATGTAGTTTCTGACACAATAACGCAGCATCCATTGATCGTTGGCACTGATTTTTTAAATAGTGTTGAAATTTGTATGAAAGAAGGGGATATTTCTATTCACAAAGTTGAAAGTAGTTGTCAAGGCGAAATTCCAGAAATTTTAAAAATTGACCTAGAAATGGAAGAGAATAGAGTAGATTTATCTTATATCACGGATGTTGATAACAGGAAAAAAATAGAAGATCTAATTCGTAATTACAAACCACACAAAACTCGCGAAGTTAACGTTAAAATGAATTTAATTCTCCAGGACGATATTCCAGTTTACCAAAGACCGAGAAGATTATCACCTGAGGACAAAGCGGATGTTGATAAACAAATTTCAGTGTGGATGAAGGACGGGATTATAAGACCGTCCGAATCGGACTACGCGAGTCCGATCGTACTAGTGAGGAAAAAGAACGGCGCTACTAGAATCTGCGTAGATTATAGGCAATTGAATAGAAAGGTTGTAAAAGATCGGTACCCGCTGCCTCTCATCAAGGTATTTAGTACGTTGGACCTTCAAAACGGATTTTTCTATGTTCCAGTAGGAGAGAGTAGTATAAAGTATACGGCATTCGTTATTCCTACCGGACACTATGAGTTTTTAAAAGTTCTATAGCTGTCGTTCCTGGTTGAAAACGGAACAAATTTTATTAATCGAAATAAAAATCAGAACTTGAAAATTCTAAAATGATGGAGTCAACAGTCTTGTATATCTTTCGCAAAAATGTGTAGACTCTAATGATTTCTATTTCGATTAATAAAATTTATTCTTAGCTGAATTATACTGCATCGAATTTTCTGGTTACAGGCCGCAAGTTATTTTCGGATAATCTAATATGAAAGATATTCCCAGTTGTAGGATCGAGAGAGTTCTATTGAATTTTAAGTTATATACTTTGTCGTTTTACACACGGAGGTCATATAAAGATTTGCTTGGAATTTTTAATCGCGTCAGGTGAATACATTTGCGTATACATATATGTATAGTATACATATTTCTCTACGATAATCAGAATATGCTCCGAGTACTCCGAGAAAGACGATTCTGGCCTGAATAAGTAACTGATTAAATAAAACATAAACGACACTTGAAGTGTCCTACCTCAAGTAGTGAAGTGTAAATTTAAATCTATTATACATAGATTTAAATCTAGAAAAGCACATTTCTAATCCTGTGGAAATAAAATTTAATATTGCGACGTGTATTGCAACAATTATAACAATGCATATATTATTATGTAAATATTTATTGCAAATTATCATATTGATGGCTATTGAGTATTTTATAATGTATAATAAATTGTAATAATCATAATGAGCAAACTGAGGGTATTTATGCAAATATAAATTTTCATGAATCATTTGCAAAACCAGAATTAAATACCGATTTACTTGTTGTATTGAAAGTTTCATTTTATTGAACATGAAAAGACCTTTATTAATTGTTATTAGTTCATGTTCATTTATTACAAATAGTTTAAATCGACGTGCTGAACGACATATAGTCGATACGTTGCGTTATATGAGTTTAACAAAAGAAAAAAAAACAGCTGCAACCATTAAACATATATTTCAGGTGTATGGTGAGATCGTTAGAGTAAATCAGTGCTAAAGAAGACTCAAGAAATTTCGAAGTTTGTCAGGAAAGTCTTACCGATCTAAATAAAGACACTTTATGGGTAACTGCTGAATCAAATTCATGAATAACTGTAATATTAAAAGATTCGTACAAAAATTGAAAATATATATTTTAAGTAGCTTATACTCACTACACGTGCACTGAAAAAACACACATTACTTATAGGACAAACTACTGTTAAAGATCTGTTTTTATTGTTTTTAGTCATTTAATCATTCTATAAGCGCATAAAATCCATAATCTAATAAATTAGTCATAATTAGACTGTGCACTTCATGCATTTATAGCAAATGCAAATACGGAGAACAGACCGAAGTAAACCTGTAGCTGAGCATTAATGTTCTTTTGACTTTACTTTTAATTTCACATATCCTTCAGTAGATGGAATTGGTCTTTGATTCTGGTTTTGGTAAAACTGACTATAAAAATGGGAATTTGCATAAACATCTGCAGTGTATTTATAATAAATAAGTAAATCAGAAAAGAAAGCTACAGATCTATTACGACTAATAATTTTGCAATAAGGTTTAATACGTGCAGTTTAAAAGTAATTAAGTGATTGCACAACACTGTAATGAGATTAGCTGAATACTAATTATTATGAAGAAATCTTACAATGCTCGTGCTAATTACGTAATATTTATTATATGCATATAAACTGTATGGCCCTTTACGACGCCAGTACAACAATTTATCATTGCTTCAGCGGAACGAAAATTAACTTAATTGCTTTTGCGTGCCGAAAATTCCAAGATCCGGATTTAAACCGTAAAACGCTAAAAAGGCCCCATTCCACTCGACTTCAAACTTTCACCATCATAAAATCACCGGGTGTAACAGTCATAAACGTTCGTCACCATCGTACGCATCACCTACAGGTCATCCTTTTCTTCACACCCTCTCACTCGCACCTTACTTTCCACCACCGTACGCCTCAATCGCAGGTTATGTTCTTCTCCTAACCTTCTCACTCACCTTTCCTTCTACCACCCTTCTTACTTTTCACTGTCAGTCATCCCTACTCTCCACCCCCTTAGTCACTTACTCCAACATTCCCTAATAAGGAAAACAACGACGACTAAAACCAATCACACATCAGCTACACCCGCTTTTTTTCAACAAGACTTCCTTTTCTACAAGACACACCCTCTAGAGGACAACACTCTCCGCTTGAGAGGAAGATCTAGGCAGACACTCACCAGCACTCGTAGAGTACACATCATATATACTTGTAATACACAGTTTAGTTTTGTAAATACACCAGTTTAGTAACTGACTAAAAATTTACTTAACATCCTCA